AGGACAGCCTGTATGAAGAGTTTTCTAGTGGAAAAAGTGTTCTGACTGTGGTAACAACAGGACATATAGAACAAAGTTGGGTCAATATTTTCAGTGATTTAAGAAAAAACAAATTGATGCGCCAAACCTTATTAAGATCATAGGATTTGTTTTAAGCATCCCAGGCTCAAATGCCCATACTGAAATAATTTTTTCACTGATGAGCAATACATGGACTGATCAGAGAAATCAAAGCAGCTTAGAACTAATTAAGTCAGAGCTAATGGTAGCAATTAATTATGACTATAGTTGTAAAGAGTTTTTTAAATTTGCACAAGAAGATAAAAAAATGCTTAGTTCTGCAGCATCAGTGGACAAATACATATAGGTTAGGACTAAGAAACATGCAAATTTGTAAAATTTATTCTATATTGTGACCTGTATATTATATACAATGTAAATTAATTGTTTTGTTTAATATTATCCATTCCATGAACGTTTGCTGGACTAATGCCGCATCGCTAAAAATGCGCAAAATTTGTCTTGACTAAATCTCCCTTAAATTCAAGACTGAAAGTTGGTCACCCTAAGATCAAACAACAGTGATTTCGAGGAATATGTTTTCTTGGGCCCACAAGGCATCTTATTTAGGAAAATTCTTACGTTTCTGAGGAACATCTGCTTTGTTGTCATGATCAAGTAGTAAGCAAAGTAAGAAACCTGTACAAGTAGGCAGAGAATTACACAACTTCAAAACCCAGAAGATAGTACTATTCAAGGTCATCTGTTCTGATCAAGGCGAAATGTAGGTGTAAATGGTAATTTGTTGTGAGAAGAGAAAAATGGCTGAGCCATAAGGCCCTTGAAATTTAATGAAAATTGAATGATTATGAAACCAAAGCAGAATTTTATAATCAGAATAGCTTCTGGTAAAATGTCTGATTNTCGGAAATACCGTGTGTGAAACATCACTTTAAAATCATGAGCAATCGCTGCTGGTGGTGGGATTGGATATTTAATTTCTATTGATTTTTAAAAAAGTAATAAATAGCAATAAACAGCAATAAATATTAAGAGCATTTAAATAAAAGCATTCTGTTCTCAGTACTCTATGACAGTTAATACAAGTATTCTTAGCCACATCCCACACAAGTTTCTGAGCAAAATATATGGCTGCCCACCCCAACTGATAAAACCCTAAGACCTCCCATCATCTCAGCTTCAGAAGCCAAAATAAATTTATAATGGGCTTTCTTTAATTTATTTCGGTGAACAAATTTATTTATCAAGTCAGCAGGCATCGAAAAATTAGTGCACACTTCCATGTCAAATACATGAAGCAGTTAGTGTAAAAATTCTCCAGATATAACTCAGTCTGTAGCATGAGGGAATATAACCGTGGGTGCTGCGAAGGTATCATCCACCAATGGAGGGGGACCACTTATTCCTGGGAAGGATAAACAATGCTAAATGACGCCTCCTTCCATGAATTCAGCC